TCAGAATAGGGTTGGAAAAACAACTCAGCACTGCACTGCTCTAGCAAATGATGCAAGATCCAGTTCAGTTCTCAGCACTTGTAACTCCGACCCCAGGGGCTCCAAAGCCTCCTCTGGCCTTCGTGGGCATTGTATTCAGCACATACAGATGGACATATATACCCATAACTAAAAATAAAAGTAAAATCTTTTTTTAAGGAGTTCAGAATGCCTTACAACTGGTGGGTGTGGTCTGCATTTTGATAACCTGGGTCTTTAACACTTAAACACTACAGCCTTGCCCCTGCTTTTGTTGTCTGCCTCTGAAGAGAGACTTCATGGGCAGAGTTAAGCAATGTGAGTTCAAATATTCGCTTCAGAGGTCAGATCCCGGAAATCCAAGACTTTCAGCCCTCTTACAACAAAATGACACTGGGTTTAGATCCCTTCCATCTTTAAGATGAGGCAGTCATCCGACGAGTAAGACATGTGAGGTCTCAGAGCTACCCCCTGAAGTTTATTTCTACCCTGCAGGGTATGGGCAAGAACTATTATATTAATAAGGTAAGGGGTGGGGATGATAAGAGGGGCAGGAGGAGAATTAAATGTCCTGAAAATGGACTTCCAGAGTCTTCCTTAAAGGTAATAGAGCAAGAACTGGGGAGGCTGGGAGGTGCAGAGTGAGTCACCTGCCTAGAGAAAAGAAGGATGCAACTTGTTTGTATCAGAAAAACAAACAAACATCAACAAAAAACGGTCCAGAGTACATGATCCCCATCTAGAGCAGAGCCCACATAGCCTGGAAAAGTCCTAAGACACCACAGTGTGCTCCGTTCTCTCTAAAATGAGCATCCCACAGTGTTCAAGGTGTCATTTGGGATTTGGAGAACTGCCAGAACCTCACTTCCTCTCTTATTGGGGGGGGGCGGTGCTTGCATGTAAGTTTATGTACATGTGTACCTGGTGCCTGCAACAGCCAGAAGAGGCCATCAGATCCCCTGGAATTGGAGTTAGAGGCAGTTGTGAGCTGCTGTGTGGGTGCTGGGAACTGAACCCAGGTCCTCTGGAAGAGCAGCAAGTGTTCCTTATTTCTGAGCCATCTCTCCTGTGCCCACACACACACACCACTCTGCACACACACACTACACACACACACACACACACTCACACACTCACACACACCACTCTACACACACACACACACACACACACACACACACACACACACACGTTGGTCCTTAATTCCTCCTGTGTGTGGTTCAGAAGGCGCAGCCCTTCATGGAGACCTCCTAGACGAAGATGCACTGTTTTGAGTTGGGCCATTGGCTGATCTGTGCTCTGTTCCCTCACTACCAAGTCCAGACAAAAAGCCCACCTTCCTTGTCTTCCCAGAGTTGTACAGCAAGGCTAAGAAGTGGGGTCAGGAGACTTCAAGATGAAGCATACAGAGATGGCAAATCAGAGGACCCCCAAACGAAATGCAGCTGTGTTTATTAACCATTGGCTGAGCCCCAGACAATGTGTGCTGGAGGATCAGAGCTGAGCCTGCTTGTCCTCAGTGCGTGGGCTTCTGTCTGGAGGAAGGAAATGGGCCATCCATCTTCCAGAAGGCTCACTTAGGAGCCAATCACTCACCGGCAACAGGAGAGTGGAGTGGGCTGGTTAGGCTAGCTGGCTGGAACATGCTGGATTTCCCATTGCCCAACACTGAGATCAAAGGATGTAAGCTAAAGCTGATTTACTCCCCAGGTTGAAGGGATGTTGGATGGGATTCCAGGCAGGTATGCACGCAAGAGCATGTGTAAGCCAGCTTACACATGTGGGTCATGTGGGCTGTGGTCTCCCCACAGCAATGCCGCCCACAGACAGGCTCCTGTGTGTCTTCAGTAGACAGCAAGATTTCAGTAGACAGACAGACCACACACACTGGAGTCAAGCTCTGCCCACCTCCACCCAGGCTTCCTGACTATCCAAGACCCACCCTCAGCAGCCAGTAGCAACTTCCACTTTGTGAGGCCTTCTGGTCTCCTCAGCCAACTTGACAGAGAGGTCACTATTGGCTTCTGCCTGGGGACTTCTGCTGTGCCACCTGCCTGAGCCCAGCACTTCTGGTATGGAGATTCTGCTTCCTCTTGCCCTGGGGACCTGGGGACCACGCTCTGCCTCTCTTCTTGGTACCAGGCCCTCTCGATGTTTTCTTTCTGCTTGTGGGAGAAATTGGCTTCGTGGGGGAGCCCTTCTGAGATGCAGCCTGGTCTGAGCCAGAAGCTAAGGTTGCATTGGATGGTCTTGGAGCTGCTTTCTGAGACTCCTCCTTCAGCAAGTCCAAAACCGTGGCTGGAAGGTAAACATTTATTCAATGAGAAAGCAACAACCTGGGAAATGGCTGTGAAAAAAAAGCACTAAGGGACTTCACAGCCTCCTAAGAGACAGCACTTTTGCTGAGTACTCCAGGCTCAAGCAATCCTCCTGTCTCAGGCACTGGAAGTGCCATCACACACAGCTTGCCATGGTATCGATATCGTTTTAATATCCTTCTCTGGCCCTGCAGTAAATGCCTTCCTTTGTGGACTGGGGTCACTCCAGATATGGGTTGTCTGCCTAAGATGCTATCATTCAACTCGTGAGTCTTCTGTGACTCCCCATTTCACCACAGACCCTCGTGATACTCATTTCTCTATGTCCTCCTCCCACTTGACTTGGAATTTGTACAGGTCAGAGATGTCAAACATTCATTGCTATAGCCCCAGGTTTAGCATAGAACCTGCCACAAAGTAAGTAGCAATAATTATCACCAAACGAATGAATACATAAATAATTGCATTAATTAATTAATGACTAGAGAACAACAGATCATGGTAGAAGCAGGCATCTCGCTCATTAATTCTGGTCTGCAGGACAGATGTATACACTGAGCTCCAAGTTAATAACTCTCACAACTCTTAAGAGAGAAACCGTGACCGCTGGGGCTCAAGATGCCCGAGTCATTAAAAACTCTTGCTGCTCTTGTCAAAGACCCAGGTTCAGTTCCCAGCATCTACACTGTAACTCACAACCAACTGTAACTCCAGTTCCAGAGTTTCTAAAGCCTCATTCCGGCCTCTGCAGACTCCTGTGTATACACAGGGCACATGTATAAATACAGGCAAAACATCCATACATGTAAAATAAATAAATCTTACAAAAAGAAATCAAAGAAAGTATGACCCTCTACCCTGGGGATTTGCTAGGGATGTGGCTGCACCAATGACTAAAAAAACAAAATTCAGAAAGGAACTCACTGACAAGTGGCCGGAACCGGATCTTCTTGGTTTTGGTTTTCACCGGCACTGGCTTAAATCTGCACTTGCCTGGTGGGGCTCGCCTAGAAACACAGACAGAAAGGGTGATGACACAAGACTGTGAAGACACGATTTGGCAATCAAGATCACCATAGGGTATACTGGAACTGGGGTGGGTCCTTTCTTGTCCACGGGGCTGGATGGGTGTGACAGCAATGTGCCCTGAGCTCAGATGGAGAGGAGAAAGGCTACTCGGCCTTCTGGAGGCAGTGAGAAAAGGTTAGCATGAGCCTGGTGATAGGCACCCCTGGGGCCCACATCAGAAATGTAATAACAGCAATAACAATGGTTTCCAATGACTCACAGGGAGATAGGGAAGTTTACCTGAGAGCTAGTTGTGTGCTGACAAACCATAAGTGATCGATGAAGAATGGAGTTTAAACATGAAACACTACACAAGGCCCAGCACATAATAAGTGCTCAGCAGATGATAGTGACAGCTATGGCAATGGCAATTGGGAATCCCTTCAAAGGGCCCTGGCACAGAAGCTAAGGACGGCCCACCTCTCTAGCTAGCATTATGCTCTTTCTTAAATGGCATATCCCTGTGTGCAACCCCTGTGTGAAACAATGGGGCTTTGGGCACTGAGCAGCAATGCCCCAGCCAGTCCTCTTTGCCCCCATCACTTTGCTCCAGCTCTCTCTCCGATGCCACTCTCACCCCATGTAGGCAAGTAGCTTAACTTGACTGGTTCGTCTGTCTTCTTGGCATCCTGTCAACATGTGTGTGCATAAAGCTTGCTGTGGTCCCCGGAGCACATTGTTAATAAATGCCATAACAAAAAGAGGTGAAAAAAGCCTGTCTTTGTGACTCACACTTACAGCCCAAGCACTCAGGAGGCTGAGGCAGGAGGGTTGCCTTGAGTTCAAGACTACATAATGAGTTTCAGGTCAACCTAGGAAATAATAAGAAACACCCCTCTCAAGAAAACATAAGTTTACCACTGCTTTCTGTCTGTTTTTTTCACAGCTCTCTTGAGAAAGAGAGATTATCTCCTAGGCAAACTTAATCATAAAAGTACCAAAGGAGGGGTCATGGGGTAGTACTTCTGTGTATGTTCATTTTTTTTATTTTTTTTTTTGATGCAAACTGCACGAGGCTTTATTGTTGTTTAACGAGCTAACCCCATGTTAGCTCGGGCCTTCCATCCATCCACCATGGGGGATGGATAGGAAAGACAGCTCGAAGCGTCTGCATAGAGATCTTATAGGGCAGCATAAGGGGAGTGTCTAGGGGTACGCACAGGCTCAGGATTGGTGTGCCTCCAGGCTTGGAGGGCTTGCCCTGTGTTGATTGGTCAACTGGTTGTTATGGCCCATAGGCCCTCCCAGGGTGGTTGCTATGCTCTGCGATTCTTGCTGCGCACTTGTCCGTAAAGCACACCCAAAGCCGTAAAGCATAGCGCCACCAGCTAACTTCTGATTGGTTCCTTGCCACGAGGCAGGCGCCTAACCTCCTAGTGACCAAAGCAAGGTCAGACAAGCACGTGTGTATGTTCATCTTATTGATTGTTGAATAAAGTACTGTTTGGCCAATGAGGCAGCAAGTTAGGCGGGACTAGGAGTCAAGGAGGATTCTGGGAAATGTAGTAAAGAAGTGGTGATCTAGGCAGGAAGTGACATAGCAGGGAGACTCATATTTAAGGAAGGACAAGCAGGAAGTGGTCCCTTGTCCCTTTCTCTCTCCCTCCAGAGTCACCATGTGATCCCAGGATGAGGACGCCAATGGAAGGCATCCGATAAGATAATCTTATAAAATATATAGATTTATGATAATTAAGACTGAGCTAACAGACGAGAATCCTAGTCATTGGCCAAGCAGCATTTGTACCTAATAGAAGTCTCTGTGTATTATTTGGGGACCTAACACAGTGAGCACAACTCAAGCAGGTGGCGGAAAGAATTATCGTAACAGAGAGGAAAGCTCTTAGGACAAAGAACAGAACTCTCTGTCCATGCAGCATTGCCCACACAGAGCTGGACTGCTCTGGCCAGAGAACAAGAGCTGTGCACAGAAACAGACCATGGTTGAGGCTGCCCAGACTAAGTTCACTCTGTGCCAATCCACACTCTACTCTGAGCAGGGCATCTAAGCCACAGCCTTGAGAACCAACTAAACCTCTCCCAGGAACTTCTGAGATCACACAGATGGAGAACCCAGTTGTTAAGTGAAGCTATGCTGGACCCTGAGCATTGGCTAGTCCTATTTGTCAACTATCCACTGAAATCTACCTCAGATTGGGAAATGAGCCTCAGAGGGAGTGCTGATCTGTAGGTCTAGCTATGAGCCAATTCCTGAGAAGAAAATGACAGCAACTCTCACCTTGAGGGGTCGACAAATTTGTAAATAGATCCATGTGGAGCATAGGCACTTGGGTAGGAGGTGGCCAGGAAATACAGCTCCCCTAAAGAAACAGGAGTCAGCAACAAGAACACCATATCATCAGGGCTGAGACACGTCTGAACACACAGAAAATAACCTAAAGGAGCTATGGTGCTAAAAAGCCATAAGCACCACGGGTGAGCCTCTGAACTGCAGGCTCTCACTGGGCTGCAGGCTTCTTGGGGGAAAGTTCACCTTTGAACCCCCAAAGACTGTCTCAGAAAGAGGCCCAGTGAAGGCCACTCCATGTGTGTCCTGCTGGATCCAACAGGCTTTCCCTATCACCTCTTTACTCCTGGAAACATCACCTGAGTGAAGCCCCGCCCCCTTCTTCAGCCATTCCACACAGGTGAGGCTGGGTGCAGGCTGGGGACATCTGCCAGTCGCTTTACTCTGCCCCTTCATCCCTGTGTCCTCTCAGCCTAGCCTTAGCATTCTCTTCCTCAGTCGCTGGGTTTTTTGTCTTTGTGGCCATCCCCACCCTTCTAACCTTCCTTCTTGGTCTTCTCCACACACTCCCATCCCAAACACCCCAATTCTCCTCTCTGCTATCACTTTTAGAAGGAGCTATGCTTCCTCCCGGTCCTTCCTACTTTCATTTCAGGAAACATCGTCATGCCAGTCTCGAAGAAGCTACCTGATTTCCCCTGGCTTGGAACCTGCTGTGAGGAGCATGGCTGTGTCTGAGGGTGAGCCTTGGCTCCAGCATCACAGCAGTAATTCTAGACATAAATTCTCATAACACCAGTTCTGAGCTGTGCTACCCCGGATGACCCCCCAACCTGCGTAAATACCCAGCTAGCCACTCATCTATAAGAGAGAGTCACAGTGCCTCAGCGAAACGTGGAGTAACAACTAGTTACTAGTGCTTTGTGTGGGGGAGGGGAGGGAGAATATGTTCATGTTCATATGTCTGTCGTGCACATGTATGCAATGGCATGCAGAAGCCAGAGGTTGACTTTGAGTGTCTTCCTTGACTGCTCTCCACCTTCTTTTCTGAGACAGGGTCTCTTATGGAATCTGGACCTCATGATTTGGATAGGCCACTGAGCTCCAGAATCGTTGTCGTCATCTCCCCACCACACACGCACACGCACACGCACACGCACACGCACACACACACGCCTCTGCCTCTCCAGCACCAAGATTACAGCTGCACACGACTTCACCTAGGTTTTACCTGGGTGCTGGGGAAGTGAACTCAGGTCTTCAGCTCGCATGCAGGCACCTGACAACTGAGCCAACTCCCCAGCCCTTTCCTTTCTTATCTCTGGTGCAAGCACCTCAGCAGCTTCGCCAACATGACACAATGCTAGCACGGCTCATGTGACCACCTCAGCTTCATGGAAGACAATCATGAAGCTGGAAATGTGACAGCTGTACAGCTGTATTGAACAGCTGTTGTCCTCAGATCTGTGGAGAACAGTGACCATGTGTTTCTCTGCAGTGTGAGGCTCTGAGGATTTGCAGAGCCTGCTACCTAGGGTGACAAGTATTGAAGACACCATGGCTTCACAAACTGATAAGACAGTTTATAACTGTTCTGAGAAAGGTCCAAGGAGTCAGGACACACCCTACTCTGGATTCAGTTTGTACTATCTGACTGGAAATGCCAAACACCATCAGACATCATCAGATAAATGAGCTGTTTTCCAATAGTCTGTGTGAATGCAGGCCCTTCTCTGGCAGGAACCCTCCAAACCACACAGAAACTCCAAAGTCGGGGGTGGGGCTGTCTTACTGGGTGTTCACTTTACATGACTACAGCCTGTATAATGCATATGTTGTGAACATGCCATAGACTTCCAGTTCTATCTTTAGTGGGGGGAAATACAAAAGGCAAATTCTATCTGTGATGGACAGCTAACATTTTTAGTAACTATTTTATATTGTATTTGCTAATTTTGTGTATGTGAGGGAATGTATACCACGGCATGTATGTGTAGGTTGGAGGACAATTTGCAGGAATCCATAATTCTCTCCCTGGGTCCTGGGAACAAACTCGGGTTGTCAGGTTCAGAGTCACCTTTACCAGCTGGTCTACCTTGCCAAGCCCTTAATATCTATTTTAGGCAAAGAGATAACTACAACACAGTGGGACTTGCTGTAAGCATCCTTGCTTAGGCCAGCCCCTACTTAGGTCAGCTTTCAAACTGGCCCATGTGTGTAGCTCGAGGCCAGCCACATTTCAATCACACCCAGAGTGAAGCCTCAGGGCTCTGTGGGGGAGCTGTGGCAAGAGCAGAGGCAGAAGCCTAGTTCCCCTGGAAAACCACTTACCAAAAGCTATCATTGGATGCAGGAGACAGCGACCTTCTCATCTGGAGGAGTCTCAGTGGGGAAGAATATTCAAAGAACAGGAAGTGGAGCCTGCTTTTCGGGAAGTAAGGCACAAGAGAAGGCTCTGGGGGCAGCTTCTCTGGCTTCAGGGATGACCTGGGGCAAAGCATTGGCCAAGTCCCACTTCCCAGAATTCAGCCAGAGACACTAGCTTTGTTTGCCAGGAGTCCTGACTGTTTTCAGAAGCAATCTGTTTCATCCTTCTGACAGATGCCTACAGGCTCTGCAAACCAAGCCTCCGAAGCCAGTGTTCTGGGCTGTTTCAGAGAAGCAAGCCTCAGAAGATACACACCTGTATAGGCAGGCCAGCCTCTGGGGTTCCGGCTCTATCTACCTTTTGGGAGGATGCAGCAGAGAAACCCCACCAGGGTGGATGGCTGGCGTTTAGCAGACTCCTGCCAGCCTGTGGTTTCTCTACATCTTTATGTATTTGGATTCCCAATTTGCAACTCACATAGACTTCCTCTATTTAAAACTCTTGAATTTCCCAAAATACTCTCTCTGCTGATATAGAGTGTTCCTCTCAAAGTGTCTATCAAGCAGCAAGGTCAAGGAAAAGGAGCTAACTGGATTCTTCCTGTCTCTCTGTGTCTGTGTCTGTCTGTCTGTCTGTCTGTCTGTCTGTCTGTCTGTCTGTCTGTCTGTCTGTCTGTCTGTCTGTCTGTCTGTCTGTCTGTCTGTCTGTCTGTCTGTCTGTCTGTCTGTCTGTCTGTCTGTCTGTCTGTCTGTCTGTCTGTCTGTCTGTCTGTCTGTCTGTCTGTCTGTCTGTCTGTCTGTCTGTCTGTCTGTCTGTCTGTCTGGTGTGTGTGTGTGTGTGTGTGTGTGTGTGTGTGTGTGTGCTGTGTTATATTGTGAGACAAGGTCTCATATATCCAGATGAGTCTCAGACTTGCCCTGTAGCCAAGGATGATCTTGAATTTCTGATTCCCCTGCCTCCATTCCTAAATACTGGTATTACAGGAATGTACCCAGGGCCTCAGGCCTCTGGCAACTACCTGGACTACATCCCCAGTTTGTTAACCTTTTGCCATTTAAGAATGGTTAGAAAAAAATATCCTGTGCGCACTTAGGTAAACAAAACAGAATTTCTTTAAAATCATAAATTTTAACCTTTCAAAACGAAGTATTAACTAATGGAATGCTGAAATTAAAAATGAGTTCTCTGGCTATATATTGTAGGAGGATACATGTTCCTCAGACATGAGTACATACCTTGGCTTCAATGATCACTGATGTCCTAGCATGCACCTGGCCTCTTCTGTTGACTAACCATATTCCTTGCTGTCTACCATCCCCATACACCTTCTACATCCAGATCTCTCTCCTTACAAACTCTAGGCAGAGTCAGGAAGACCCTAGGCCAATCAACGACCACACATCTCCTCCTAGGCCACCCAAGAGGGTAAGAATGGGCTGGGCATTTAGTCTGATCCCCTGGGACCTTGCCACATGCTCATAATTGTTTCCAAATTAAAGTCAGCAGAAGGGGAGTGTGTGAACCTCTCCAAGGTCGGAGAGCACAGAGTCCCTCACAAGGAGGTGTGCTTTCTCACCACAATGGGGGCGTGTGGGACAATCAACAGTCAACCTGTTTCCTCCCAACTGACACTGAAAATAATGACTGCATCACCTGGGCACTGATGTTACTAACTACCCGGCATGTTATGAAACTCGGCTCAAGGATCATCATGAGAGAAGTGACAGCGACTGTTCAAATGACAACAAACAAGCAGCCAGTGCCCGTGGTTACGGAAGAACAACCAAACAGGACTCAAACAGGTTACCTGCTTCATCTTCAGCGAAGGAGATGATGAACTTGTTGTAGGTGCTGATCAAGCCCGGGAAGGCACAGGACGCGTTGCCCAGGCAGATGTCTTGCTTCCTCCATCTCTTGGTTTTCCTATCTTCCTGCAAAGCCATAAGTCGACTAGATGAAAAATAAAGGCTTATGTTGTAGGAATCTGTGTTTCCACTTCAGAGCTTATTTTCCCACCAAGAATCAGGGATCCTTGGATACTAGCAATTGGTCTTAACTGAGCATGGTGAGGTACACCTCTAAGAGGCAGGAGGGTCACCATGAGTTTGAGACCATTCTGTTATACACAGTGAGCTGCAGGTCAGCTAAGAATAGCAATACCCTGTCTCAAAAAAATAAACAAACAAACAAATAATTTACTACTTCCTTACCCACTCATGAAGTCCCCAAAGATGTAGAGGCCATTGAGATTGGGGGATTCACACCCACGGTAGACATACCCTCCAGTGACCGACTTTCCCACATCATGGCCATAAGCATAGATGGGCAGAATGTCATCTGTCAGGACCAAGAAAAGAGAGTGGAGATCACACCCAAGTGGAGAGGTCTAAGGGATCAAAAGTGGGTTTCCTAACGCAGATGTACGCTTTAGCTTTTGGCCATCAGTAAGACAGACAACTGAATCAATTGGTTTGGTTTGGTTTGGTTTTTCTCAACAGACCAATCACAATCCCATGAAATCTCCTCCCTGACACCTGGCTCCCCTCTTAGACTCTCAGGGCAGCTACTGGCGTGTTAGCTTATGGGAAGTCTCAAGACATGGGTGGAGGCAGAAGGATCAATAAGCATAAAGCCAGCCTGGGCCATGTGAGTCCCTACCTCTAAGGCAGGAAGACAAGGAGGGAAAAGAGGAGGAGCAGCAGGAGCACCCATCGGTCTTCAACTTGGAAGCAGTGGAACCCCTAATCACCCAAGTGTTGATTCTGATGGAATCAACAGGCTTCCTTGTGTATGCAGAATACCATTTCATTGGAATGCCCCACCTCGGAGACTGTTTTTAAAGTTCATGCAGCCATCAAGTTTGCTCCACCAGTGGCTCTTAAAATAGTATACCTAAAATCCACTCAAGTAAACTTCTTTAAAGTACAGTTAGTCCCTGTACCCTAGCTCACCCAAAAATGTAAATGCATTATGCCTGGCATATAACCATATGAGTCGATAAAAAGTTAAAAAGTTAAAAAGAGTTTTACATTTATATATGTGAGCATCTGCCATGAGGACAGCTTACAGGAATTGGTTCAAGTTTTCCTAGGGTTCCAGGATCAACTCAGGCAAGTTTGGCAACAAGCACCTTTATCTACTGAGCCATCTCACTGGCCCCAAACCAATATCAATTGGCTTTATATTCTATTCCAGAGTTGGTCAACATTCCATTCCATAAATCAGAACTAGTGTTCCAGTGATCTGAGCAAAGGAATTTGCTATAGAGAAAAGGGTTTCATGAAAACAAAAAGGTTGGGCGTTCCTAGTGCTCAGGAGGCTGAGGCTGGGGGATCACGGATTCAGGGTCAGGGTCAGTCCAGGCTTATTCAGACCCTGTCTCCAGAAGCAGAAACAAAAACAAGCCACACAGCAGTTATTCAAAGTTCTTGTGTTTGTATGGTAGCCACAGAGAGACAGAATGATAGGAAAGTAACCGATCCTGTAACATTAGGGAGCTACTCGCCGCCCCATGCAGGGTGTCCAGCTGGCCTTGAACTCCCTATGTAGCCCAAGCTGGCTCTGAAGTCACAATCCTCCAGCCTCTGCCTGTAGCACTGGGATTCTTGGCACATCCATCAAGGATGGACTTGCAAACAAGCATGGCCAAAGTGTTTCTGGTATCACTGTCTGGGGAGGCAGAGGTACCACCCCACAACCCAGCAACAAGTTACCATGGAGACAACGGGGGGGGGGGGGGTAACTCAGGTTGTGTTCCCCTACCTCTCTACTGCCCACCTAGTCAACTCATTCAGAAACACCCATCGGTGTCTCTCTCACCCAAGGAAGCATTATGACAGAGTCTCTTCTCATAACATTCAAACCCTTCCTTGCCCTCCAGCCCTAGTTCCCTCCTTTAACGATGAGGTCAACTTCTTCAAATTTGTTCTGGCCCACATCACCACAGAATATCCGACCACGGCCCTGGCGGGTGATGGGGTCCCCTCGGTCCACAGAACAGCGCCACATATTTCTGACCCCGTAGGCGTAGACGGCAGGGTGGGCACCTGGCTCAGAAACAAAGGGATTGTCCGGGGGCACTTGGTATCGCTGGCCATCCACGCCAGCCCCATTGACACCAATCCTCAGCACTTTCCCCAGCAGAGAACTTCTGAAAGACAAGAAGCCGGGGTAGAGGCCCAGGTGAGCAAGAAGACTGCAAAGGACCAGAGGAAACAGGGCGGGGACAACACACGATGGGATGAGGGGGTGATGCAGGACTGGACAGGACAAGACATGGGACATGCTGAGAGCTAGAAACCCAGGGAAAAGTGACCTCATTGGTTCTTTTAAATCTATACAAGATGTTTAAGAGTTCCTCATCTCTGGCTCAAGGAGATCTTCTAGAAGGACATGGCATGACCCTGCACCCCACGACCCTAAGTAAACTACAGCTTTCCTTTTCTATCTTAATGATGGGTGCTAATATTATACATTTGAAAATAAATAATGGTTTTATTTTTTCCCCAGACAGCAGTGTACTCAGGAAAAAGAACAGACTTTTTTTTTGAGAGAGAGAGAGAGAGAGAGAGAGACTCTTCTAAATGAGTTTGGCTGCTGGGCTGCACTCTGCTTCTTGGTGAAATCCCTGAATGTGGCAGCATTCAGCAGATACTAGCTTAGCCTGATTAGTGTTAATATGTCACTCCTACGAAGAGTGGGAGAAAGGGCTTCCTGAGTGCAAAGGTCAGAATAGCATGGCTGGGCCCTGATTCCAGTGTCCCCCATTCATGTTTACAGGAGGCCTGGTGCTGATGTCATATCAACTAAAACATATTAAATTTTTCTTGCCTGTTGCCCTTGAAGTATGTCATGTTCTCAAGTACAATGTGCAATCTGACTGAAGCAGTCACTGTCAACACACTGGGCACTCAGTATATAACATCTCTTATTAATTGGCTTCTCATGTGTCTCAGGGACTAGCACAGAGCCAGGGACACACTGCTCAATCCCACCATTAAGATGGTGGTTGTCATAGAGGGTCCTGCTAACATACATTTAATTTTAAATTCTTTTCTATATAGCACTGTGGTAGTTATTATATTAATCATTTATTTACTTATTTATTTATCTATTGAGACAGGGTCTCACTCTGTACCTCTGGCTGTCCTAGAACTCACCATGTAGACCAGGCTGGCTTCAGACTCACAGAGATCCAACTGCCTCCTAAGTACTGGGATTAAAGGTGTGGACCACTACAACTGGCTACATTAAGCATTTATAATGTTAGCTAGAAAAGTATTCTGTACTATGTATAGGACAGAAAGTCAAAGGCTCCTCTCCCTGGCTCCAGAGGAAGGAATTAGATCATCTAAGTTTGACTTTGGCAGAAAGAACATGGTACCAGGGTACACTCAGAAGAAATGGGGTGCAGCCTCCATCCTGCTTACTTGTTCTGAGCATTTCCAAACTTGCCAAAGGGATCCCCGGCCTGCCCTCCATCCCCAGTGAATATGTAGAGATAGCCATCCAGGCCAAAGAGAAGCTGTCCACCATTGTGGTTTGAGGCTGGTTCATCTATCTCCAAGATGACCCTGGAAGAAAAAAAGAAACCACACATTAGGCTTTGGCAAGGCTGAAGCTGCATGTTCTTGAGACTCCCAGAAGCTGGTTGGCCCAAACCACCAAGATCTGTAAAGTTAGCTGAGCCTGGCTTCAGTCTCCAAAGACCACGAAGTAGGTGGCCCCATGTTTCCTGGTGTGATTCCTTTGTGAATCTTTTTACTTTTATTTTCAGGACTAGAGGTTGGACCTAGTGCCTTTGCACAAGCCAGGCAAGCAGTCTACCACTGAGCCACATCCCCGGCCCTTTGTGGATCTTTCTTCTTTTATACCGTGACCTCTCGAGCTGAAAGATGGCCAGGGTAACAGCCACCCCTCTCTGGGGTTTGCCTTTACTCTCTACCCCACCAGACTCCCCTTCCTTCCTTAGAAAGGCAAATGGATCTGGTCATTCTTCCCAATTAGCCTGTCTGTGATGGGAAGGAGAATGAAGGGAAGAGAGCAGAGTGATGATCTTGGAGCCAGCTAGAACTAGTGTCTCATCTGTCCTGTTGAGCAACGTGACACAGGGATTGCCTCTGTGGATTGTCTAGTGGCCATGTCTGTAGGGGGCTATCTAGATAGATGGTTGATTGACATGGGAGAGCACAGCCCACTGTGGGCATACCATCCTTAGACAGGTGGTCCTGGGCTGTAGGAGGAAGCTTGCTGCGTATAAGCCAGCTACCAAGCAGCATCCTCCTTTGTTGCTGCTGTGCTTATTGACTGTGGAGTGAGTTTCCTCAGCTGGAGGTAATGTGGTATGGGATAGCAAGCTGGCCTGCCTTCAAGTTCCTGCTTGAGGTCCTGCCCTTCCTTCCCTCAGAGACAGACTGTGACCTGGAAGTGTAAGTCAAATAAATCTTTCCCTCCTCTAAGTTGATGGTCATGGGACCTGTCACAGCAATAGAATGAAACTACAGCATCCTCTAACCATGCATTAATAGCTTTATGGCCTTGTGCCATAGCGCAACATGGGAGTGAGAAATCCCACACTAAAGGTAAAAGCTTTGATTTCCAGTGACCACACAATTAGAGGCCGCTGTTGTGTTTAATATATGATCTATAATCACTTTAAAATTCCTTTTGGCTGACAGTCCTGGCTTTGCCTTTGTAAACACAAGCAAGCATGACTCTAACTTGCGTAGGTAAGGCTGGGGCTATACCCCATAAGAACACTTCTTTCTAGAGTCAAACAGATTGTCCTCATTCATCAGTAGTGATTTTCCTCAACAGTTCTTATGCGTATTACTTTTTTCCTGCAAGTGTGGTGGTTGTTTTTATTTTCCCTGTACCACCTGCATGCAGAACAGGCAGATGCCGTAAGGGGAAGTCATAGCCCCCAGAACTGGAATTACAAATGGTTGTGAGCTGCTGCTGGGTGGGTGCTGGCAACTGAACTCAGGTTCTCTGCAAGAGCAGCAATTGCTCTTAGCCCCTGAGCCATCTGTTTTCTTAACATTTTAGGCTAGTGCTCACAAACCAGGCCCGTTCCTTCTCTATTGCCCCACGACCAGATGGGCATCATTTGGGAGCACAATTTCAGTTTTCATGAGATTGTCTCACCTCTCTGATTTGGGGTCTGCTTTGTTAGGGTCAGACAGAGAAACCTTCATCTCACTTATCCGGATTTTCTCCACCTTCCTCTTGCCCAGGCATGAATAATAAATGTAAAACTTGCGATTGCGGCGGAATCTGGGATGAAAAGCCAGCCCCAAGAACCCTCTCTCATCGCCAATCCAGGGCGTGGTCAGCACCATGCTCTTGAGGTCCAGGAAGGGCTGTTCCAGGCGACTCCCATCAGGCAGGAAGATCCACACCACTCCTACCTGCTCAGCAACAAAGAAGCGATGGGTGCCGTCCCCAGCATGCACCATGGCCACCGGGTTCCTCAGCCCATTGGCCACCTCGGCCAGGCAGAGCTGCAGGCAGCCCTTGTGGTCCTCAGCCACCACTCCCAGGTTGCGGTTGAGCTGACTGTTCCTCAGGACGTTGGGGAAGCAATAGTCCTCATCGGGAAGGTTGAGGAGGTGGCAGAAGCGAGCGCCATCTTTCTCCTGGGACTCGTGGAGGCTGCGGTCACTGGTTAGCAGGGAGATGGCAGAGTGGCAGCTGTGATGGAAGGCGGAGCAGTAGTCAGAGCAGAGGCCCGGGAGGTTCCTGAGCGGGGTCTGAGGGTTCTCAGCATCGTAGAGGTGGGCTGCGTAAGGAGAGCACTCCTGGAAGAGGAACGGGAAGCTTGATCTCAATTCAAGCAAGCAAAAAATAAAAGGAAAGGGGGGAAAAGGCGCAATGGTCTAGTAGGGGGTCCGCGTTCTGGAGGTTTGCATACAAATTGCTGTCAATCATTTCTCTAGGACCCAAGTGTCTGGTAGAGCTAATGGAGAAAAACCCTCACATATTCACTACCTTGTGTCTAGCATTTCAATAGCTTAGCTCTTTTTCAAAATGTTTATTAGCATATATTAGGTTGTACATAATAATGGATTTCAGCATGACATTTTACGTCATATTTTGTCATAATGATCTCTCATGTCCCCTTCCCATGCTCACTGATCTCCTTCTTCCCAAATAGCACCCCATCTTTCAGTGTGTGTGTGTGTGTGTGTGTGTGTGTGTGTGTGTGTGTGAGAGAGAGAGAGAGAGAGAGAGAGAGAGAGAGAGAGAGAGAAAGAAAGAAAGAAAGAAAGAAAGAAAAAAAGAAAGAAAGAAAGAAAGAGAGAAGTTTTGTTAGATCTGTTTACAGGAGAATGGGTGAGGGTTTGTTTACAGGAGCTAGGCACCTTATTTGTGGTTACACCACTGAAGAAAATGTCTCTCCCTCTCAGACCAACCATTAACTAGGTATAAACCCTCAGGGGGTGGGATCCCTTGAGCCCCTCCCCATTCCATGACAGGCTGATAGATCCTGTGCAAGTCACCACAGCTCTCAATAGCTTAGTTTTTGATACTGAAGATTATATTAGTTGGGCTGTGGTGGTGCACAGCTTTAATCTCAGCACTTGGGAGGCAGAGGCAGGTGAATTTCTGTGAATTTGAGACCAGCCTGGTCTACAGAGTGAGCTGCAGGACAGCCAGGACTGTTACACAGAGAAACCCTGTCTCAAAAAGCAAAACAAAACAAAAGATGATATTAAATGAAGGTGATGTGAACGCCTGTCTGAGTTTATGAGCACAGTATGTGCAGGCATTTGCAGAGGCCAAAAGAGACCCCCTGGAACTAGAGCTACAGAAGGTTATGAACCACCACAGGGGTGCTGGGAACTGAACCCTAGTCTTCTGCAAGAACAGCAAATGCTCTTTACCACTGAAGCACCTCTCCATCCCTGGAAGAATAGTTTTTGAAGACAGCGGTATCACATTTTTCAGCTTTTCCTTTTCTCAAGGTGAGACAACATAACACAAGCTCCAGGTCTATTAAACCCAGATACCTAGTGTCAGTATTTCACATTCTATGCTCCTTCAAGTTTGAGATATTTAACAATTAAAACTTATATAATCAAAACTCCCCCAAAGATTAAGATGCTTAGTCATTTCTTCATTTCTTCCAGCAAAGCACTATGCTGGAAGTTATAGGTTTCTCTGTCAATTCTGGCTTTTCAGTAATGAGACTGCCCTATACAAAAGTACATAAGGACTAAATGTCCAAAGAAGCATCTGCTAGTTGACCTCCTAGACTCTAGGACCTAGAGATAACAGACAGAGGCCACGGAGACTTGGCAGTATATGGCAGTTGTGTGTGGGTGGCGGGGGGGGGGGGGGTCAGGGGGCT